AAAACGTGATAGCAAACTTAAATTGGGTTGACATGTTTATCATAGATCGGAGAAAACCCCCCCCCCCCCGTCCCCCAGAAATCTCTCAAGAAGTCTGGAGCCATTTGAGGGTGACTGCCCACTTTTCAGGGTCCAGAAGAGTGGCTTGATAATTCTGCCCCCAAAACCAGTTTTATATGGCAACATAAAATGTGATGGACATGTCTGCAGAGAGTCGCACGACAATTTTAAAAAAAAGCTCAAGAATACATGTATGAATTCGCAAAGAAATTCTGCCATTTTGGGTTGAAAATTTTCCATTTCCAGGGGTCCTTGATGATTTGATCGTTCGAGGCCAATTTTGCTTCGAAACATGATATATTTGGTTGGTATGTCTCTCATGAACAGATCCACCAAAAGTCTCAAGAACCCATGCTTGGAAAGACACAGGAAGTTGGCCATTTTAGTCTCAAGCGGCCATTTTAGGGTCATTTTGGTCCTTCGAATGGTTTGAAAATTCAGCCCCCAAAGCCAGTTTTTCGATAGTAACACAAAATTTGGTGGACATGCCCATCAAGAGTAGGTCAACAAGAAACTCTCACGAACGCATGTCTGAAAAGACACTTGGATTTGCCCAGTTTGGGTTTTCGTGTGGTCAATTTGGTCATTTCCAGGGGTTCTTTGAATTTTTTTTTTGAAAATTCAGCCCCCGAAGCCAGTTTCTTGGCAACAACATTTTGCAGACATGTCTACTGTTTTTCTAAGCAGACCCACAAAAAAAAAAAAAAAGTTTCAGGATCCATGCTGAGATTTTGATGTGACTTTTGTTTTTTTTTTTTAGGCTGACTTTGGCTCATTTCCAAAGGCTCTTCCTCTTATGAGGCAGGGGCGGGTGGACCGAAATATTGCGGCACGCTCCTTTGAACATCTGGCGAGCGTCAAGAGCGCCACGCAGGGCCTCCACCGGACCCCGGGTCATCTGTCAGGCCGCTGACAGCGCCACACGCTGTTCAGAGTGAGATTTTCAGTATGGCTGCTTGGCAGGTAACTGATGAAGCCATCTTGGTGTTTTTCAGCCTTGCCTTTTTCATACGCTCAATGTTTTTCGTTCGGAAATCGACAATCGTCGACCGAGAGTTCCTGCTAATCTGCGTAGCATGAATATGTGTTTGCGTGGGCTCTGAAACTGGTTTCAAATGCAGACTGAATGTTCATTTATTTCATGTCTACTGGAAACATAAAAATCTGGGGGGGCGGGGCTTAATGTTTCAACGCGGCCAAACTCGGCACGTGATGCTAAATGCGAACTGAATGCTAACAACAGTCAAGTCCTAAATGTAAATTCAAACTTGAGGTGTTTGTTGAACGTACAATGGGAGCGTTACGGTAGTGGGAGTCGCGCTGAACGTGTGCAAGACGCGAGTGGGAGTCGTTTTTTTCCCCGGGAGCCGGACGGGACCGGATTTTTTTTTTTTTTTTTTCGATAGGAGTAAGTTGACGCAGGAGTGAAAATCCACTATCGTGTCACCGTCTCATGCCCACACGGATGCAAAACTCTTTCTTGTCTTGTCAACATGTCGTCTTCGGGTATCGACCCGCACGGCTGCCAAAATCGTGTCGTCAGAAAGCGGCTTGAAAAATCAACATTTCTTTGCCGCCGTCTCGGCACGCCATCTACCCGTCCCAACATTTGCCCGGACGGCGGCTACCTCAGAGCGACACATTTTCCACCCCGCCAACATCTGCACGCCATCGCTGCACTTGTCGGGTTTTTTTCCGCCTGGTCGTCCTCCCGAGTGGCGTCCAGAGCCCACTCGTACGCCTTCCCGGCAGATGGACGGCAAATATGGCCCCTTGTTTTTTTTTTTTTTTTCTCTTCTCTGGCCGGGCGAGAACGCAACAGTCGGGCGAATATGTGCAGCAGTGCCCGAGGGGGGCGTATAGCAGCTAGCGCGCGGGACGCTAATATATTCGTGAACAAGTAAAAAGAAGGAGAAGAATCGGGATCACGGCAGCATTTTTTGGCTGTGCAGAGGATGAGTCGATTAAAAACGCTGGCGAAATAATTGACAGACGCCTGTTATATGGACAGCAACCGCCATAACAGATGGAAGGGGGAGGGCGGGGGGGGGGTTGCGAGAAGTGGGGTGTACACGGGGTGTGCGCGCGCGTCATCATCACACCGTGAGGGAAGTGTTAAAATGTTACACAACAATCGCTTCTTTCACGGGAGTTTGCCGCTGATTCTGTTGCGTGTTCGCTTTTGATGAGGTTACAAGTGATGACATCACACACACACACACACACACACACACACACACACACACACACACACACACACACACGCGCGCACACAAAGTTTTTGTTCCCACCTCTACTTGGACGCGGCTCAGACTGAGATGAATGTCGGCCATTATCGCAGGCGGCCATTTGTGCTGGTATTTGACTCGCTAATGATCGTCTTCCAAGTTCATCAGTTTATGCGCGCGCGCCCACACACACACACACACACACACACACACACACACACACACAAGCTAATTTGTTCCCTCAAGTTAATCCTTTCATGTGAGCTGGTTTCTTGGCGCCTCACATAGCGTACCGATAAACACAAGTACACAAGTTGCGAGTACTGAGAAATACTCCTCAAACGTATATCGTTAGTATGAGTTTACCTCCTCCGTCCCAATTTGATAAATTTCATATTTTCTGTTTTGGCCCCAAATCTATACGATTGGTCAGTGTTTTTTTTTTTTTTTTTTTTTTACAAATTATTGCCCAATGTAAACAGTTGAAAATGGTTTGCGCTCTTTGACGATGCGATGTTACTTTTTAAGAGTCTCATCTAAATCTCAAGCCACTTTTAAAAACTTTTAGGCACAGTCGGGCAAGTTTCAAGTCTTTTTTTTTTCCCCCTCAAGTTCCTAGCATAGTAAAAATCTTGGGAAAGTTCTCGGGTCATTCATAAAAGTCTCAAGCAAGTCCGAAATAGTTTTCGCAAGCGTAAAGTCATGTTGAAGTTTCATTTGAGGCATGAGACATTTTTCAAGTACCGACTAAGTCCTCAGTCATTCTTGAAAGTCTCATACAAGTCTCAAATTTTTGGTTTTTTGGGTTTTTTGTTTCTTTTTCCCTCTAAAACTCATGCTGCAAATTGAAAGCGAGTTTCACAATTCCCGTGAGGGCCTCAAGTCATTTTTAAAAGTCTCAGTGCAAGTTGAAAGTGAGTTTAAAAATTCCGGTCAGGGTCTCAAGTCATTTTTAAAAGTCTCATGCAAGTCCCGAGTCATTTGTACGAGTCTTCAATCTTTTTTTTTTTTCTAAACCTCATGCAAGTTGAAAGTGAGTTTGAAAATTCCCGTGAGGGTCTCAAGTCATTTTTTAAAAAATCTCATGCAAGTTTAAAGTCATCATAAATCTCATGCATGTGCCAAGAAATTAATCTTGGTCTCAAGTGAGTCCCAAGTCTTGTTTTCAATTGCCACGAAAGGCCGACGTCAATGACCGTGGTCCACGTTTACAAGCCGAAAAGGCCTCATCACACCAGAAGGATTTGGCTCAAGTTTTAGTCGTATGAAAAGGAGGGAAAAAAAAAAAAACGCTTCAATGAGCACAATAGGAAATATGAATATTTAATTCTTCAAGTGTTAATTATGCATCAAGGGTGGCACATTTGCGAAGAGACCCAATTGATGATGTTGATAGAATGGGACGAAATGTGCGTGCGCGTTAATATCATAACGTTTGGGTAATATGTGACGTCCTGTAATGGATGCTCACACATCACTTATTCATGAATCGGATGGATGATCCGAGACCGCCGAGTCGTTCGCGCCCGTCGAGGCTCGGACCACTTTCGACTTCGGATGACATGACGTGTTCACTTCAATTTCGGAAGACGTTTGCCCGAGTCTCAAGCGAGTTGGAACGCGTCGATTGTGAGTCTGCTGTCATTTGCGCACGCCGAAGTCGTGTCGGCATGAGTTGAAGCCTCGTGCAAAGTCTCGAGCCATTCTTGAAAAGTCCAAGTCCTTTTCCGAAGTGGCATGAGAATCCAAATACGTTTCACAAAAAGTTTTGTTTTTTTCTTCAAAGTCCCGAGCCACGTCCGTCTCAATCGTTTCAAAGTCTCACGCGAGTCCCAAATAATCAATGCAGAGCGCAGTCCGATCCGATTTCGAGGGACAGAGCGAATCGGTAGTTCCTTGTAACCATCCATCCATTTTCCATCCGCTTTATCCTCACAAGGGTCGCGGGGGCGTGCTGGAGCCTATCCCAGCCGTCTTCGGGCAGTTAGGCGGGGGACACCCTAAACCGATTGCCAGCCAATCGCAGGACACACACAGACAAACAACCATCCGCGCTCACACTCACACCGAGGGACAATTTTGAGTGTTCATGTTTTTGGAATGTGGGAGGAAAGCGGAGTACCCGGAGAAAACCCACGCAGGCCCGGGGAGAACATGCAAACCCCACACAGGAACGCCGGAGTCGGAATCGAACCCTTCCCCTCCGCACTGTGAGGCCGACAAGGTCAGAAGTCCCCCAGTCCGTTGACTGAGTCCCATGCAAGGTCCAAGTCATTTTTTACAAGTCAAATGCAAGGTGCGAGTTTTTTTAACGGGTCTGGTGAATAACTCTGGCCTTTTTTTTTTTTTTTTTTCATGCCAATCTCAAGTCATCGCTCAAATTATGCCAGCATGCGATTTTCGAAATGAATACCGATGTATCTTGTGAGAATGAATCGAAATGAAGGATCGAAGAGCAGATCCCGAGGTGCGCCGCTCGCCGAATGAAAACGCAGCCTCGGTTTCCCCGGCATCCGTCAACGTCCACTTTGGAGTGCCGCTTCGCCGTCGCCCCCTTTCAACGATAGCGCTCGCCCCCTCCCGCCCCGCCGAGCTCTACCTCTCCCCTTCGACTTCCCTCCACCCCCCCGTCTGATATTGGCTCATCACACTTAATCTGTCCTGAGATCTGCCGTTCTGTGCTAAATGACTCGCAGCCCGCGGGCCGGGGCGCCCGCGAACGAGGGGAGATATTTATTTTTCTCAGGGCTAATGACCTGTCGCCGGGCCCCGCCCACTGATGGTTATTTACTGGGGCCCAGATGCTGGCGCTCAAAATGAGTGGTCATGTCAGCAAGGGCCGCCATCCTTCACAGACCCACCTCCACCCCTCGCGCCCCACCAAAAGCCCCCCCCCCTCGCACCCCCGCCCCTGATTGAATCTCGCGGATCCCATTGACATTGACTCCATGACTTTTAAGGCCATTACCTTCCTCCGCCCACCATGATCACCTCGTCCTGGCCAGAGAGCTGACAGCTGATTAGCAACAAATTACTGACAGGAGAAGGCTGTGTAACACTGTGTGTGTGGGAGTAGGGGAGGGGGGGTATGCTGAAGGGTCGCGGGAGGTGGGGGCACCCCACTGAGCTCATGGTAATGTAATAAGCACGGAGGGGCTCGTATGCTGACGCTCGCCACCAGGAGGACACCAGCAGCTGCCGCTCATTGGTGGAGCGCCACGGCACTTCCTGTCTGGTCCAGAAAGGCGCCACGACGAGGGCGTGCGGCGGTGAAGGGTTGGTCGCCAAACTCCAATGTGGGCGGGCGTATCAACGCAAATCAAACGTGGACGCTACGACCGCTCCCGAGGGCCACGGATGCAAAAATAAATCAAGATGAATGCTAGAGGGATGACATTTGGGCTTTGGTTGGGGTTTCAAGAGGGGCTGTTTTGGGGCGGGGGGGACTTTTACAGTGTGCGTCCATGAGAGATGAGTGGCATTGTTATTTAATTTGTTTAAATTGAAGTCCTCCTGCTGCAACTGATGGATTTGCACTGACGTTAGCATTAGCTGGCGCTAAATTGGCCTGCCGCATGACGTCGTTCCTGCTTGTTTACCTCCTTTGACTGTGCCTTCTATCTGTTTGGCATTCGCACCCAATCAGACACAAATCCTCTCTCATTCTCATCCAAATCGCAAACCAGTCTCAAGTCATTTTGAACATCTACAAGTTCTGCGCTATTTCAAAAGTCGTGACTGAGTGGAAAGTGTTTTTGAAAGCTTGACAGTACATCCGGTGCACGTATCTTTCCAGGTCTTGTGTTCTTTTCTTAAATGGCTTCTACGCTCGTTAGCCTAGTTTGACAGAATTGCATTTTGTTCAGCTCGCCCAGTTTTGCGTTTTGCCCCCCCCCCCCCAAGCACACAGTGTCTTAATTGTGTCACTGTTTGCTTTAAAAACATTTTTGTTTTGTTACACTGACAATAAGAATGTTCAACTCGAAAATTGAAGATGAGCAAAAATCTTTTATCTATTTATATTTTTAGGGGAAAGGGGGGGGGGCGGAGGGGACACAAATCGTCTCGTGTACACCACCCCCACCGAGCGTTCTCCCCTCTGCATTTTGACATGTCAAGAGGCCCCTAGATTAACAGCCGCACGCCCTCCCGAGCCCCTCTTCTCCCTCACACACACACACACACACGCACACACACACACACGCGCACGCACACACTCCCTTTTTATCCCCGCCGTTCCGGGGTGCCACGCTCATTTGCATAACCAGATAATCCTTGATAAAAATTTCCATTAGACAAAGGTGAAATGGATCAATTTCCCGCTGCCAAGATAAATCTCGGGTTTTTACACCGACGGGGTCATTTCACAAGCCGCATTTGCCGAGAGAGCAGGGGGTCCCGGGCTCCGATAGCGCGAAGGAGGGGCTCCAGTTCCCGCTTTCCAATTACCTTTAAGAAAAGCTTATTCTGTGGACAATAAAGCACATTATGGCACAATATGATACAGTCCATAAAGATCAGCGTGTTTGATGAGAGTTTAGCAAAAGCTCAGCATATTTCCGAGGGGTGGCTAGGGCGGTTCGGGTGGGGTAGGGTGGCGAGGGTGGGCTCCGACGGTGTTATCGCTGACGCGTCGCCTGTGCTCGCCATGCAAATGTGCTATTAGGCAAAAGTCAGCATGCATTAAGACGCTAGCCGAATAGCCTCCACCCCCACCGGGAGGAAGATTGGGGGCGAGGTGGTGGTCTTGACAGGACGATGAGGCGTTCAGGGGCACCGAGAAAGGTGGGAAAACTCATTACTTTGCTCGGCCCAATTTGACACTTTGACCTTGACCTTCAGACATGTACCCCCCCCCCCCACACACACACACACACACACACATCCTGACAATTTGAGATGAATCGCACACAATTTGGTTGCATTAGCAGGCAAATTCGTCCAGTGCTAAACCCGATCACGCCGTAGCACGGGAATGAAGGCCGTTCAAGTTTCCACATGGTTTTGCGCTTTTATATATGGCAGGTTTAAAATGCAAAACCCTGTGCTAACAAATACTCGGAATGTCGCTACTCTGCCATTAGCCGAAAATTCTGCTAAACCGTCATTTAAATCCCGTCAAAACTCAACGGGAAAATCTCGTTCTACCTCAAATAATGCTTTGCTGTCGTTAGCTTAGAATGCTAACACTGTGCTGCTAATGTATAGTTCTGAACTTATGGCATTTAGTCGAATAATCGTAATGTGAATTGGGAATTTCTCCATTGCGAGACGAATAAAGGTGTTCTTATGCCCTGCAAAATCCAGTTTTGTTGGTGAAATATAATTTTTTTTAAGGCATCAAAAAGGTAATTAAGCTACCGGATTCATAAATAAGCTAATCATGATTAAACTCCCGCAACAGATGATTTATTTGGAGTAGTGATGATCATTTATTCAACGAAATTCCATATTGGATTGTTTTAATTATTAGAAAAAAAAAAAAGTGAAAGCCCCCATTCTATTTTTCTGAATGCGAAAAACGCAATGTCAATTATTAGCTTCAGCGAATGCAATCACACTTAATAAATCATCACTACTTAAAAGAGGGCTCACTTTGCATCTTTTTTATTCGCAAAACCACTGGAGTCCTCTGTCACGTTGCTTCTTCTTCTATGGTTTATTTACTGCATCACTAGCACACGCTAAGACCGGCTAGCGTAAAAAAGGGTTTTGGCAGGGGGGATGTGTCAAAATGGATGCCAGGAGCACATTAGCAATAATTCACATGAGTGAGTCCAGTAAATGGAGGAGGATGTGATTTATTTTTCATGGGTGCAAATGTCACATGGTGGACACCGGCGCCGTTAGCATTTAGCAATAGCAATAACACATGCCGATGATTTTGCTCCATTAAATGTGGATATATTTGGCTCTATTCTGCTTTGTGCAAAATGCGATAATATCTCGGGATAGTTTGAAAATATACAATAATTAGTTTTTTTTAACACATTTGGTCCCCTCAAATGGGAGCCTCACGGCTGTGTCAGTGTATTTAATAATACCACTATAACATGCATACATACTTATGCACATGCATATAAATATATGCCAAAGTACGTCCACAGCATTCAAGCAAAACACATTTTATCAGTGTATCAACGTAATAAAAATAATCATAAGGGTGAAAAATTTGATTCGGATAGTTCTTGAAAAGACCAGTCATTTACTCGAACATTGTTTTTTCAACGTAACGTCTAATCCACAATGAGTTCAATAACCTTAAAGATGACAAGAAAACGAGAAGCGCGCGTGTTCCGTGCAAAGCCGGTAAACAGTGACATCTGCAGGGCTACCGGAGAACTGCATCCCACTTCCTGATCGTCACCCGCACTTTCATATTTATTTTTTTTTATATTCCAACCCCCCCCCCAAAAAAAAAAAAAAACATGAGACGTTTGTGTTTGATATGACCGCTTTTCAAATGATTATTTTACTGATTTAAACAATTTTTCAAATTTGCTTTCTGATGCATGTTGAAATCATTCCCTCGTGAAGACAAAGCGGTTTAGCTAGTGGATGGATGGATGTTACTAATGGTAAATGTCTTTCTTTAAAACGATCCGAAATGAAAACACGGCATTTCACAAAAGTGATCACCCCCCTCCCCCCCTCAAAATATTTAACACACAGCCACGAATGCCTTCATCACTGGCAACAAAAGTGAGTCCACCCCAATGTGAAAATGACTCCTTCGTGTTCAGAAGGTCTCTCAGGTGTGACTAGGGGGGCAGGTGTGTTAAAGTTAGCGACGTGGATCTCATAATGGTCACTGGAAGTTCAAAATGGCTCATGGCAACACTATGCATGATGTTACAGTCGTTAAAAATTAAGGGCAGTGCATTTGTTGGCCACAGTTCAGTTGCATCGAACGTTACGTTATACGTTGTTTGTTTTCAGTCTTCAATTCATTTTATTTAGGACCAATATATTTGAATTGAATTTTATGAGGTGCCTCTTTAAATGATCATTATGGTGTTATTTGGGGAGTGTTTTTGGAGGTGCTCCTGAAAAGTTGGAGCACCATTTGCCTGGAAAATGGCCCGGACGCCGCAAATGGGGCCAAAATGGCGAGGGCTGAGAATTTCGGCATTCTCGGAGCAGTGCTAAACTAGCCGGCGGTGTGAGTGCCAGGGAGGTTGTTTTTTTGCGATGCTAACACGACATGTCAGCGTCTTTATGTATGGCCAGCAGACATCTGCCTCTGTCCTCCACATGTCCTCAAACGACCGCAAGACAGGCGGAGGCTTCACGCTTTGTCTCGTCTCGTGTTGTTTACACGGAGCCACATTCGCTCGTTGTCTTCAGTCTGTTCGCCGCACGGACGGGACGTCTGACGAGACCTTTCGCCCTCACCCGCCGCCGTCTCACACCGCGCGCACTTCCTCCACTCTTTGTCTACACTGCAAGTGTCTTTGACACAAAATGGCGGCGACAGTGCGGGAAGAAGATGTGGTCGGAGACATTTTGTGTTCCTCAAAAGAAGAGGATAACACCTTCACCAAGAACATCCGGAGGAGAGCTTTGTCTCGTCCATATTGGTGTCCCAGTCGAGGTGGTGTGTGTCTTTCAATATTATTGTCAATTATATGATTGTTTTTTAAGCATTTTTTTGCCCTCCACCTCAAGAACTTTCAATTTCATGCGAGGTGTCCCAATACTTTTGCCCTTCTATGTTTTTGATGATTGTTGCCGTTTATAGTTGTCGCAAACATTTAGCATCAATCCAAACTGTCTTTTGGTATTATTGCGAACAACCTGTCACTTATGGTGGATGTCACAATACTTTTCTTTAAATGTGCATTTGATTGTGGTTGTTACTGCTTGATAATCATCAAACATGTTTGCGCCGTCCACTCGTAGACACCTCACGTCGATGTCCCAAGACTTTTGTAGCTACCTGTGAGTGTTGACGTCTGTCAGCTTTCGCAGCCAGTGGGTGTCCCAATACATTTGTGTCAATGTGTCTTTGATGGTTGGAGACGCTCTATTGCACCGGTGTCGAACTCAAGGCCCGGGGGCCCACATCTGGCTTGCCACATCCTTTTGCGTCGCCAGCAAAATACAAATCAAACACGTCAACTTCCATGATGCTTGCTAAAATCTGTACCGAAATTCATTTTCTCACACGTAATAAATAAGAGAGATATTGGAAGCATTTTCTTAGTGCCAACCACCTCATTACAGTAACAGTCGAATAAACGGTTATTCTTGATGTCTTCATATGCTTTCAGTCATAACGGCCTTCGAAGGGAAATGGTCACAAAAACGTGGCCCGTGACAAAAATGGGTTGGACACCCCCTGCTCGATTGTAAATCGCTTCCCGTGTGCTGTCCCAATACTTTTGTTCACATTGTCAATCCTTTGGTAGCATCTGGCCTCGCTGAGCTCTTTCAGTCTTAGTGTGTGCTTGTACCTTTAAAAAAAATTTTTAGTCCTTAACGGCAGTAAAGTTTCATCCATTCAACAATATTGAAAAGCATTAGGAGTAGTAGTAATAATAATAATAATAATAATCTGCGTGGCATCTTTTGGACTCCATCTTAGGAGATACATCTGGTTGCTTGTAATTCCCAACCCAAGAACTAAGCGGCCAAAACAAATTTGACAAGAGCTCCGGGATTAGCGCAGATTAACGTCCTAGCGCTTGCACTTTTTGCAGCTCGAAACACAAAAAGAAACTTGCCGCTAATCCCTCGGGGATGAGGACGTGTAAAACGACAAAAGCGCGCACTTTATGGGAACGTTTATTAGCGAACAGAGCGTAGCTTTGGACGCGCATATGCGCCGTGATCCGCTTTCCCCCGCCCCGGGTAACGCGGCTCGCAGATTGCTTTTCTTCAACTTGTTTCAAAGAAGATTGGGAGCATGTTTAGCGTTTTATAAGTCAGAGAAGAAGCTTTTAGTGATTGTTCCGTGCTCAACAAACCGGTGACCTATTCTCCTCTTGAACAACGCACGACACGGCAAATGTTTCGGTTGATGTAAACATAACGAAAAAGCACTTTGCGTTATTAACCGTCACCAGTGTGTCATATGATGTGAACCGCCGCTGTCGGTACAACATAAACATTTCAACGACGGCAGTCGGGAAGACTTCTAAAATTATTATTCAAGACATTTTCCTCACGTTTTCTTCATCACAATCTAATAATTCCGCGCCTCGGACAAATGGCATAAAAGTCTTTGTTTACTACGAGTGGTTTATCTGATATCGATTGGGCATTTGATAACCGTCATGGTCAGATGTCGGAGATAAATTGGAATCAAACTAGCACTTTGATGTTAGCACAGAGAGTAAACATTGTCGCGCCTCACGGAGATGTCACGTCATGCCACCTTTCGCCGCCACGATCGTTGGGTCGCGTCGCGCTTCCGCGCGTCCGACATTGCCGCCATCATAGCGCAATCATCGCACGCGCCATATTTTGTCATCGCTTCCAGCTTTTTACGAGAAACGTTGGGAGGAGAAGCGGCTTCCATTTCATGTTCCATTACACGCCGCCTTAGCGCGCAATTACACCCTCCGGTAGCGAAATGGATGACGGGAACGAAAGGTGCAAAGAAGCGGGACAAAGGTGGACGCTGAATAGGGATGAAGTGGCAACCGGGTGTGTCGGATGGGGCTCATCCCTTAAAATCATTCGAACAATAATTGATGCTAAGCTTCATACGCACAATGCCGCACTGGAGGCTGTCAAAACGAACTGCCGGAATCCTTTTCACTTGATGCTGACGTTGATGACTTATTGTTTTCATTTACTGAGCTCACTATTTATTAAATGAGCTGTAATTGCTTGACGAGTTGGAGAAATAACGACTCCGTTTGCCACAGCTGTATCTTCGTCTGTTCGTTAATTCCGTCGTTCCTTCATTCTTTTGTTACTTAGTTTGAAAGTCAGTCAGTTGGTTTGTGACTGGATTAGTTAATTAATCAGGCAGGCAGTTAGCTAGTCAGTCAATTTGTCCACTGAGTATTCAGCAAGTCAGTCGATATATTGAAATAGTAATTGGTTTGACGCCGGCTAATTCCGACCTGTATTTAGTGAGCTATTCAGTCACTTTGTTAGTCAGTTAATTCGTCAGTAATAGGCTAGTCGGTGCGTTAGTCAGCCAATTAGTTAATTGGTCACAGTAGTAAGTTTGGTAGGTCAGGTAATGTGTTAGTAATGCAACTACGCTAGTTAGATAGTTGGCTAAATAGCGTCCAAATTCACTACGGTTTATGCGGAGGCCACAGGAGCCTTTCAAGAACCCAGCCTGCGAAGTGTCCTTGAGGATGCAGCCTACGAATTTGGACGCTTCGAGGGTTGTCTTTCGATGAAGAAGAAGGGGAAAAAAGCAGTTCTTCCAAGAAGAGTTGTGTACACATAGCCGAATGAAAAGCAGTAACTGTCTCTGCGAGCTCATGCAGTGAGTGCGTCTTCACTTTGTCAACTCGTGAGTGCTGAGAGGTGAATTAAACGTGATAATGAACAACACTCCACAGCGAGACGCTTAATGGGGCGGAGGTGTAAACGCAGTGTGAGGGAAGGACTCCTCTCTTCTCCCGAGGGAAGCTTTCGGTTGACGTTCCCTTCACATCTCAACGCTCAGACCAACATCCCTGTTGACAACCCCCAAATTTTCATGACTTTTTCCAGTCCAGTTCAGTTAATTAACTAGAAAGGCGGATTAAGGTTTCTAGATAGTCAGACAATGAGTTATCTAGATCGTGAGGGAATTACTTCGCAACCTAGCTATTCATTTGTTCGTCACCTCGTTCAAAAATTTGTTAATTTAAGGATGTGTGTGTTCGCCAAAGTGAAGTTACCCTGTCATAGTAATTAACAAAATAGTTTTTATTTGTTTGACTATTTTACCAAAGAATATAGCTTTTTTTTGTCTGTAAAATGTCTGTCACACACAAATACAGGTATAATATAAAATACAATATATTCATTTTTACACAGGCACTCTTTCAACACGTCTGTCGCATTTTTCGGATTTACTCAACTGACCATTTGTGTATTTTTATTCAGGCACTTTGAGGACGCCCCTTTGTTGTGGAGGCGGGGTCGGTCCTTTTGTCGATGACGTCCGTGCTGATTTGGAAGATGGACCTGCAAGTTGAGCGTCGCAACTCTGGCATTTAATTTACGGGTTAATGCTTTTATTTTTAAATGTCTAGTGGGTTATATAGGACCCCCAATGGAACAACGTGTGCATATGCCAAGTTGAAAGGTGAATTAATCTTCATTTTTGTCGGCGGAACTAGTTGACATTGAGCTAGCTTCTCGTTGTAAAACCCCCAGATAAGTCACTCGTCGCCAAACTCAGTCTGAATTTTGTGTATATTTGCCTACGCTTTGGTTATGGAGGCTTGTTTTAACAGACATTGGAACAAAAGTCATTTTTAAGGTAAACTGGATCGGTGGTCCAATTCGGCACCGAGTCGTTCGAAAATAAAGAGCTTGGTCATGTCGATTTCATTGTCGTCGCTGGCGGCTATTCAGCCGTTGTTAAATTGGTGATTTTTTTTTTTTTTGGGAGTGGGGTGACTCGGTTAGACGATCTTAATTGTGGAGTTGTATCACAGACACACACACACATCAAAAGACCACCCCCAGTCAAAGTAGAAGCACCCAAGTTAGAATTATGATGGAACGCTGACTTAAGAATTTTGATGAGAAGTCAGTCACGACAATAAATGATTGTTCTGACCTGTTTGCCTTCCGTTAGGTCCGAAGAAAGCGCCCCCCACTGCCGTCATGCCTCAGAAGAGCGCCCAGACCACCCACTACATTGAGCTGGGGGGCTACCAGTACTGGCCGGTGCTGGTGCCCCGCGGGATCCGCCTGTACACCTACGAGCAGATCCCAGGCTACCTGCGAGACAACCCTTACATCACGGACGGCTACAGGGCCTACCTGCCCTCCAGGCTCTGCATCAAAAGGTTAGTGGCGGGTAGGGGCGAGGGGGGCTACATTAGTTGCTTAATTAATTAGTCAGCTCGTTGGACTATTTATTAGTCACTCAACTCATCAGTTACTCAGCTACTTTGACAGCAAGGTCGGTTCGATTGTTAGACAGTTAATTTGTCGAGAAGCTCATTCACCTCTTAGTTTCAATTGTGAATTCAATGTTCGTCTTGATGGCAAAACAGTTATACGGTTGCATCACGAGCCGGCTGGGTAAAAATCGTTGGCGGGTTGGCCTGCAAATGAGACGAAGTCGTTTGTTTATTGGCGAAATCGAAGTCATGCGGCTGGTTTGCCAGTTCGCCTTATGAGACTGCGAATTAGTCTGCTCGTTAGTTAAATACAGGGAATCATAACTTGGTTTTCAGTTAGCTAGCTAATTTATCAGCGTTATTGTAATTGCTCCTTTTATGGCTGTCGGTACAGCAGGCTGTCGAGCTTTGGTCGCAAACGAGAAGGCAAATGACTTTGCTTTTGTTCGGCAGCTGGATAGTCAGGAGTTACACCACTACTTTAGTTGCTAGCTACTTGGTTTCTGAAGGAGCGAGTTGGTCTGTTCTTTAGCCAGCTCATGGCTGATTTCGACAGCTCGTCAGACTGTTGGACAGCGAGTTAGTCCGCCTGTCGTCAATTCTACGGCTAATGTACAGTAGCTCGTTACTCAGGCAGTCAGTTGCTTACTCAGCTCGTGAGTTGATAGTACGCCTGCTGTCTTGTTAGTCAAAAACGGATCCGGCTAATATGCTCGTTGGACGGCCAATTCAGGGAGCACATTGGTCAGGTCTGCGCGCTTAGGCACGTCGTTAGCAACCGGTCAGGTAGCCAGTCGGTTATTCGGCGTGCGACTTGATCGTCTGCAGGTTTGCGTGTTAGAAAATGAGACAGCAAATCAGCCATTTGACCGCTTAGTTTTGTCATCAGGATCATTCTGAGCCGCTTGCGTAAGTGTCGCTTTCATACATGGCAATTTTCCGCGGATCCGCGGAAATCCGCCGT